GCAATGAATGTACAAATGCGCTTGACACAATTGATGTGTGTATGGATTGTGATAAGAGTTGTATGAGCCCCTAATAAAATGATTTTTAAAAAAAGAGAGAGTCTGTCTGTCTAATGAGAAATGTGCTTTGGACATGTTATCAGGAGAGTCCGGGCTCTGGAAAAGGACATCATGTCTGGTAAAGTGAGGGGCAGCGGAAAAGAGACAGGCCCTCAACAGGATGGACTACACCTGGCTGCCCCAGTGGCTGGAGCATAGGAACACCGGTCAGGGCGCTGCGGGACCAGGAGGCGTTCCGTTGGGTTGGACCCAAAGTCTCTGTGACGTAAAGCCGACCTGGTGGCACCAAACAACAAGAAACAAGAAATCAAGACAGAACGTTCCAGCAAAACCGAGCTTCCCCTTTGGAGACTCAGTGGTAGGAATCCACCTGTCAGTGGGCAGTGAGCTGCAAGGGGGAGACACTGTCTCTAAGAAAAGGGGTACTTTCGGGAATGCAAGATGCTGGTCGAGATTCTGATAAGTTACCAGGCCAAAGGCGAGCGCGGCATCCCCCTGCCAAGAGGCTTTCTTTTGACTTGCTAGAGAGTTGCCTTCAAACTCCGGCGAGATGATTTGGTTCTGGGCTGAGCCGAACAGGCAGTACCTCGGAAAAGGGTGCAGAGTGAGGTAGGAAGGCATCACAGCAGCGAAGCATTCTTCTGGCAGAGAGAGTCTGAATAGAGCTTTAGAAAGATTTCACATGGTTGCTAGGGACTCTGTGTGTGTGTGTGTGTGTGTGTGTGTGTGTGTGTGTGTGTGTGTGTGTGTGCGTGTGTGTGCGCGCGTGGGCGCACATGGATACCCTATTCGTGCTCACTCTCAGTCAGCAATGGCCCCCACCCCCCAATATAAGAAGGTGCTGTGAGGAGGCTCTTTTGCCATCTCATTTCACAGAGAACTGTGAAAAATATCTGCATAGCAGCTGGCTTTCTAGGAAATGGGATCTGTGTGTCTCATTTCTCATGTAAATAAAGCAGGAAGAAGAGCGAGGAGCCAGGTCTGCCCACGTGTGCTGGCACTGAAGCACGCTGGGGTCCGCAGCCACTCCCTGTCCCACGTCTTGTGTGGGCTGACCACTTTCTCAGACAGAAACTCCAGCCCTCGTCGAGCCTCCCCGGGCAGCTTTCTCAAGATGCCCAGGGCACATGCTGGGAGCCTGTAAAGGAATGTACAGGTACCCTGTGGTGACAGGGATGTGACTGCCACCTGTGTGCTTCCAGTTCCAGGCAGCTGTAGGAGAAAGGGGGGTGTCTGGACCCAGAAGCGCTGAATATCATTTGCTGTCACACAGTACGGGATGGACTCCCAGATGCCAGACGATCTCTCTTTCTCTGTGGTTGATGGCATGCAACGCTGTCTCTCTCACTGCCCCTCGCTCACCCCTGAGTGACAGCCGGTTCCAAGTCAGTCTTGTTTGCTATGAAGTGTGTTATCCCTGCATGCTGGCGAAGGGTCCTCGTAGATACAATAGGCTAAACACACTGAAGCCATGGCATCCTTTGCCTCCACGCACCCGGGCTGGAGAACACCAGCCTGCCTGGGGTTGCAGGCGCAAGGATACTCCTCAATGCCGAGCCTAGCGGCTTCCCTCACCCCTTCTCTCCCTAGGCATCGTTTGCTCTCTTGTTTTGCATTAAGAGTGGCTTAGTGATCATGGACTTCAGCCCTTGCCTGTACTGATCCTGTTCGCATTTTATTCTTCACACAGAATAGGAAGGAGGTTTGCTTGCTTTGCGCAGAGGCTGAGCCACAGGAGAAAGCAAAGCCAATGTGATTTATTGAATGAAAGCGCTGGACAATTACCAACAACTTGTTCCTCGGCTGCCTCGAACAACCTCAACTGGTAAGTCCAATTTATTCTTGTCTTTCTTCATGGGAATGCAGGGCTTTTTAGACACAGCTTTTTTTTTTTTTTAATGTGTGTGTGTCTGTGTGTTGCTGTGGTTTAAATGAGAGGAAATGCTCTGCATCTTCCAAAGTTAGCTGCAGGCAGTCCATGGAGAATGCACAGAAACACAAAGACCACCGGTGGTCTGTCTGTACCAGCGCATGCATGTCCCTGTGGAGAGACAAAGGCCGGGGTCTGCAAGCCCCACTTCTGATCATTGGGGGTGGGAGGGTGGGGTTGTGGTTTCGTTTGTAGCCAGCTTAAGCACATTAAACGCTTGCATAACCCATAAGCACAAGCTATTAAAAAAAGAGAGAGATGGCTATTTTGTTGTATGAGATCATTTTCCTACCAGGTTCCTGATAACCTACAAATACCTGTTGGTTCAGGTAAAGACGAGTCCCGTTGTGCTGGTGTTTCAGAATACAAACCCAGGGGAGCTGTCGTCTTGAATCTGGTTTGCAGGCTGCCTAGGCAGAGTGGAATGCCAGCTTTCTGTCCATCCCGGCTGAGCATGCCCATAGATAAATAACCTCGTGACAAGAGCGGATACCTGCCAAGGAGACCCAGTGGACATACACACACTTATGTTGGCCAGTGTCCCTTTGGCATCGTATTCCTTTTTGTATTCCATGAAGGCTATGATAGGTCGGGTACACTGGGTTCCCCAAGTGGAGTTTTGTGAGTGTCCTGTTAAGCTGTGTTGGTCAGTGGCTTGGCCAAGGCTACTAGGCATACCCTTGATAACCAAGTTGACTTTGCTTCTGTGCTCAGCCCCACAACTCCCTCTACTCACTCCTTCCTCCTCTAAGTAAGCTGGGAGCCAACCTCTGCAGAGGAGGGAAGTCTGTGGAGAAAGCTATTTGCTTTTCCCCCTCCCTCCTCAACACCAGCCCACCCCCAACCAGCCAGCCTTTGCTTTGCCTAGCTACCACAGAGCTTTATAGGGGCAACAATCCATCTCCGGTGGGCCCACAGTCCATATCAATGCCATATAGAGTTTTAATGTCTTTGGTGAACTCTGCCTGCCATATATCACTGGACTTTCAGACCAAGTTGTGGCCTTGGGTGCTGACAAAGATGGATGGTGTTGGAACAGGGCGCAGCATGCTTTTCTAAATAAAAGCCAAAGTTAGGAAATCTGAGAGATGGGTGATGTTTTGCCTGGTTGAAAGGATCCCCAACTCCTTCAATCATAAGAGCAGGGCTATTCTCCGCGGAGATTTGGCTATTATGTCATTCTCATGGGAAGAAATAAAATTGCCTAGCGGAGAGACGACTGGGAAGATGGAAGGGTGGAAGGGCATCCGACTCAGTGGGTGCCTATGGAAACTTCCATGAACCCTCTGTGGAACTCCATTCCTGATCGTTTCAAGGAAAGCATGCTAAGCTCAATTAGTGTCTGCAGAGGAGAGTGTATTTTAAGTTGTCCTGGAGGTGGATGCAATTGAGAATCAAGATCATTGTTCATACACTTTAATCAAGAGACCATTCATCCTAAATCAATAGACGAGCGTGTGGAGAACACTGGATGAAACAGGACCACACCCAGGGGGTCAGAAGCTAGAATACCACTGAAAAATGCTCTTAAAAATTAAATCCAGGTCAGTTGTTCAGAATAACCAGGATTTTCGCTCCCATGATGACAGTGACACCTTCTTTTCTGTAGTCATCATCCCAAGATACTGACAGTGGTGAGTCGTTTGGAACTAACAGTACACAAGTATGTGGGAGGTGGGCTTAGTTCAGGTTTGGGTAGAATCCATAAACAGCATTTATGATAATTTTGTGTGCTCAGATTCCTGCCACCCCCACCCCCAGGAGGATGTGCACATCACCCCCTCGACATGGGGTTCCGCAGCTGCAAAGGTGTTGATCTGAGGAGTCTCAGAAGACCTGTTTTCTAAAAATTAAAAAAGATCCTCCTACTTATAGGATTAAGGCACCTGACATTCTTTCTACAAAGACCCCGTACACTTTGCTGCCTTTTATAAACTACAAATAATCTTAGGAGTAACAAATTAAGACACTCGTACAAACGAGCTTCAAAAGGCTTGTGGAAAAACTGAATTAGTGGATGATGGAATTTTTCCACAAACTTTTTGAAAAAGCTTTGTATATCACCGTAAATTAATTTTTTTGTCTAAGATAACCCAGGCAAACTGTCTTCATGATCTTGGGCTGCTATCGCAGAATATCACCAGTGGGTAGCTTTAACAAACGTGGATTGATTTCTCACGGTTTAGGAGGCTAGAACTCCAAATTCAGAGAGCCAGCTCTAGAGAAAGGCTCTGTGTCTCCTGGATCCAAGACCTGAAGACCAAAGGACATTTCCTACTCCCGGCTCTTCTTTCTTGGTGGTGGTAGATCCTTCTGTTCACTGCTTCCTTCCTCTTTAATCCTTGTTCATTTCTCTTGATTCTTTGATTGACTCGTGATACAACCTAATGCCATAGATTGCATCCGGCCTCATTAATATAATTGCCTCTAAATCCTGCCTCATTAATATCATAGAGGTGAGGATTTCCAACATAAAGGATAATTATATCAGATCCAAAAAATGGAGGATAATTACATATTACTGAAAATCATGACCTAGCCAAGTTGATGCACATCTTGCGGGGACAGAATTGAATCCGTAACAGCCACCCAGAGGATGTTGCATTAAATGTTATGTTAACCCTTCTGCTTTCTTTGTACTTCATATCTGTTTCCAAGAACTTCCCTTATAATTGTTTGTTCACACTTTATCAGTCCAACTAGACCTTTAGGGAAAGTTATCTCCTTCTGTTTTTGGAATACGTGCTTTGAGCAAAACCATCTAGGTTTCCTGCAGAATTACATGTGGAAAACCAAACGTAACTCTCACTGTCTTTCCCCTTCTTACCCCACTCTTCCTCTGGATTCCATTTTCCCTGTAAATGATCAATGGGGCTATTTATATACCTACTTACCCAAGCAAGCCTCACAGAGGCGACCCTCAGGTCCTCATTGCCATGGGTACAAGCTTCATGCTGCTTGTCCTCTGCCATTGGCTCCATACTTAGCTTCGAGCTGTCCTTTGAATGCTACCAGAAAAGAATCTCCTCATCTGAAAACCTTGACTTTCCCTTTTCTTGCTTCCTGGATGTCTATAGGTTAGAATCTTTACTCCACACTGCTGTTGGCAGCTCTAACCCAGCTTGTACTCGGTGGGAAGAAAGATAAGCCTTTCTAACTGGAAAAGAGTGACAGCCGCAGAACCCCACAGGAGCTGTTCTCCCTTGTCCTGGAGGGTGAGCGTGACTTGGCATCACCAGGACGGCAGTTGGGTTTGGCGTTTAGAGTCTGGCAGTGAGTTGGGTTGAGACCCTTGGTGAGCTTGCCCTGCTACCCACCAGACTCCTCACCTCTCCCGAATCCCTGCTGTGTCCACCCAATGAATGTACCACTGGAAGTGTCAGAGGCCAGAAGGTTGTCAAGAAAGCCCCCATTGGCATTTACCATCTTTCATGTGTCCGCCTAGAATGCCCAGTTCTTTCCTTTCTCCCCACTAGCCCCCCTTCACCATTCAAAGTCTTGCTCAGACATCGTCTTCTTCAAGCCTGCTGCCCCCTCTCCTGTTTACTCCTGCCGCCCACAACATCAATTCCCCACCCCTCTGCCCTACAAAAGGCCTTAGGCCCTGTAAGAGGGGGCTTGAATGGTTAACGTTTCAGAATTAAGCCCACCTTGCCTGGGTTTCAATCCCGAGCTTGCCTCTCAGTATTGCCTCAATTTCTTACCCTATAAAATTGGGGGTAATAATAGTTCTTTACTTCAAGTGATTCTGTGAGTTGATATCTACATGCCAAGGCATTTTTCTAGATAGTGCCTGGCTTGGAAGAAGCATTATGGAAATGTAACCTTTTCTCACTACTCCATAATGTCTGTGTAACTGTATGGGCATGGCCAGATATTTGCATAGCTGACTCCCTTTCTAGCTGGTGCTAGAGCACAGGTAGGATAGTCCATTCATCTGACTGCAGCTGACACTCTCCCACCTTCAGCACCGGTAACCTCGCATCTTGGAACCCTTCAGTCCTGGGCAAACTGAGATGGTTGGTTACGTATGAGGGAGCCCACCCCATTCATCTTTCAATCCCCAGAGTCTATCACATACATGATCCATCATTATAAAGTACATCATCCATAATGACTGATGAACTATAGGATCAATATTAATGTTGTGGTCACAGTTATCCTTATCAATATATACTTCCCAACTTCAACATTCAATTTGGAGGTCCTAAGTGACTTTTACCAATGTATCCCTGAATAGATCATTTTTTAAATGCCAGCCACAGGCCCTGAAAAGGCGGGTCTGTGTATCATTATTGTGCTAGAACTAGCTCCCCTTTAGCAATCAGCGGCATCCCTGGGGGGACTTCACATTGTTTTCTGTCCAGTGACAGACAAGTTGAAGCCTGAAGTTCACATCACAGCCTGGAGATCAATCTTGTTCCGGTCAGAAATGCTCCCTTTGCTGAATGTGTGTATCCACACAGCCGTCAAGACTGGCTGCAGTGTCTGCTTCTAATGCACGGTGTCTTAAAACAGCTCCTCACCCAACGCGGCTCACATCTGCCTTCCTGGTAGCAAGTAGAAGGAGAAAGGGCCATGGAGGCGCTCTGGTGATGCACAGCCTTGGCAAGGGCCTGGGGCAAGGTCTTTCCTTCAAGGTTCTAGGAAGAAGAAGCTGACAGGCAACCAGACAAAGCTCCTATAGGCATAACAAAGCAAACTTGTTAAGTGCATGAACTGAGGACTCAAAGTTCAAAGGTTGTCTTCTCCATTTACTGTAAGATCATAGAGCAGTTATGTGACTTCCCTGGGTTTCTGCTTCTTCCATGTTAAAAGGGGGTGCGTAACAACACAACCTGCTTTCTCAGAGGGCACCTGGGACCTTCGGTCTTCCATCGTGAAAACAGATCAAA